CAAATCTTGTCAATCGCTTCTTCTTCGATCGATTTATTCAAGAACTTTGCCCTTTTGTTTTCTCCTCTTTCTCGCCGTCCAAAGAACCATTTTTAGGTCTTCCAAAAGTGTATTTATAGTTCCACAAGGTTGCAAGACGAATTGGGTGTGGACTGGGCCGAAAATCTTTAGAAATTCCGTTTTTTTCTCTTTACTCGGGAGCCGGCGCCTAGACGCCCAAGGCTAGCGCCTAGGCGCTGCGACTTTATTCTTGCTGGCGCCCAGGCACCCAACGCCCAGGCACCCAGGGCTGGTGCCTAGGCGCCAGCAGTTCTGCTTTGTTTTCTCCTAAGGCGCCGGCCATTCTGCCCATTCTCATTATTTGGGCACTTTGGAGCTCGAATGTGGCGCCTAGGCGCCCAAAACTCGGCTCCAAATGCGTTGTTCTTCTTCTCTACTAATCTTTTGGTCTTTTCTCCACTTCATTCATGTCGTACCTCCTTCCGTGATCATCATTACAGCTTCATTTCAAGTTCCTCACCATTCCGTTTTCATCCACTTTGGCCAACTATAAAACAACACGAACACACACATCAAAACGTTCAAAAGTGCTCAAGAACGAACCAAAAAAACTACAATTTAAAGGAACATGTTTAATGAGTTAATTGCACTCAACAAATATGTGCCTTACCGGGAAAAATTAGCAAGGTTGTGTGCCGATGGCACCGGCTTTAAGCTTGCTTTACTTGGTATAGCTGTACCTGGTGTAAGTTCACCCCTTTTATCAAGTAAAGTTGAACAGCTGCCTGCTTCTTGGAGTTCAAATTATGAACAATTATTTTGTTGGGTCATGTACCGAATTTTTTTACATAATCTCTTACCGACTACTCACAATAGGGGGTGGGGATCACATTTTGGGATTTTTTTATTCAAGTGGGGTCCACGTGCATGCGAGAGGGGGTAAACAATTCGGTAGAGAATATTATGTACAAATAGATTTATCCTATTCTGTTTTATATCTAGTCTCTATGATCTATATAACTATTTGTGCCGAGTCAAGGCTGATGATTATTGACATTCGGATGATCTCTCCA